GTAAGTAGATAGTCAGAGAAAGAGAGAGCTAGAGAGGAGACCTCAAGCACCTTTCGGTCCATCAGTGGATTTGCTCTGCCATCCCTGATTCACAACAGCCAATCTCTCCTATAGGTTCCTATTTTTGAAACTTCCGCCACCGCCTTGTGCGGTACTACTGGTACTGATAATCATCCATGTTGCCAAACAAACCACTTGCAACAGCAAGATCTTCAAACAAAAACGTTGCAATGGACTCTATATTCAAGAACGGCCTCATACGCACGCATGAATTGAGATCTTATTTGAGGCCTTACGATGCAAGGCGCAGATTATCTTCATGCAGGCGACATAGTCACAAGAATCTCAAGCAAAATGCATTCTGTGAGTTGGGTTCACGCTTCAGCTGAGCGAAAAGAAACGCATGCCGCATGCCAGTTAAATCTGTGTATCCATGTATCCTGCTAAATCTATGTTGCCCTTTCCCTCAGGCACTCCATGTCATTGTCTGCACAAAAAAAGAAGAAAGACTTATACCGTGTTCTACAGTTGGTAAGGTTGACAGCTAGAGCGGAGATTCGCAGCAGCCATCTTTTGCAGGGAAATCTACAGTGAATCTACAGCACAGTTGCAAACCACTCCTTGCTCCTCATCTCCATCTTACCATATCTTACAGCTCTTACCCAACCCCCTGGTCAAACTCTCCATTTTTCCTCGTCGCCGTCTCAACTCGTTTACTCAGTTTACTCGTTTCGTCGTGCGGGATGCCGCGCCGTCTATGCCAACTGCAGACCCAACTTCTTCGCCTTTTCGGCTTGGATGGCGCGCTCACGGCGCTGGGTCACGTGCTGCGACTTGATGCCCATGATGCCTGCGCCGGGACCGGGGAGGAGCCGAAGAGCCGGGGCAAGGCAGATCTGAAGTCTGAAAAATCCAAAAATTTGGGGATTGTCTCAAAAGTTGGGAACAACCAACAACTTCCATACTTCCATGGATGTTGGTTAGATTTCGTACCCTGAAAACATCCGGGTTTCTGTGATGATTTCTGTGATCGACATCAATCCCAATCATCAGAGACACAGCGGGCCTCCACCCCAGCGGCGGCGGTTCTCCATGTTGTCGTTGAACTGGGCCTTGAAGTTGCTGATCAGGGTGTTCAAATCCTGCCACACAGCAATGTCATTCGGTGGTTGGAAAACAAACGATGTTCATATGCTGGGGTTCCTCAAAATATCTCAAAAATGACCCTTCATCCAATTCCAGGACAGTTGGGACGTCAACCCCAGAGCTGGGCTTGTCAGTTCGTTGGTGAAGGTTGTACTCGGCACGTGTTACAAAACATGCGTCCTGGACCTGGTGGCACTGGTGGCCCCGGCCCTGGTGACCCTGTCCTTCTCATCCTCAGATTTCACGCTGGTGATGGCCACGCAGGAAGCGGCCTGTGGACCCAGAAATAGGAACATCATTCAGATACAATGGGGGATACCATGAGGATACAATGAGAATCTAATGAGAATCTAATAGAAAGTGTTTGCAAGGCGTGAATAAGATGATATTTACTTCATAATTCCAGGTGTCCCACATGTTCTATCTGTTTTTGGTTGCTATAGACTATAGACTAGAAATAGTGAGGACATTACGGGGCAATGCAATGAGAATCGAATGGGTACAATCTCATCCCCCTAATATTCAACACCACCATTGTGTGAAATATGTCACGAAATATATCACGCAACATCCCCTATACCCTCTGGTAAACGTTTACGTAACTCTGGAAAATCACCATGCATTTTTGATGGGTAAATCCACTATTTCTATGGCCATGTTCAATAGCCTATAGGGCCTATACCATGGTTTCTGGATGTTTCTGGGTGTCCCAAAGCAGCGCTTCGCGCTTCGCGGCAGGCCTTCTGGTGGATCAGTTGACCAAGGCGGGACTTGCCCTACGCGGTGCGCTGCGCAAGCACCATCCCAAGTAGAAAATAAATCGCTCAGTAAACACGGTGCCAAGTGAGCAACAAAGAACTTATCATCTGATAAACATACAAAAAAAACTATGGAAAATCACCATTTTATATAGGTTGATCAACTATTTCTATGGGCCATGTTCAATAGCTATGTTGAATTACCAGAGGGTACTGGCCGTGACCTTGATGATGCAGTAAGGCACGTCCTGGCAGATTCAGAAATTCGGCACAGGCACCAGTTTTCATCGTGGCCTCTCAGGAGGAGAACTTTGGTGCCACGCTACCCACCATGTTTTGGTTCCATCTCCCTTCCATTCCAAAGTCAAAATCCAAAAATAGGTTCCCCGTTTCCATCATTTCCATCTTATGGACATTGTCATCATATTCATCATGATACGCATTGTAATGTTATATTTCGTTAAAAACCCGTGTTTTTTGAAGTCAAAAAAAAACATTTTCACAGCCACAACTCATCGCACAAAAACACCACATTCACCTCCACCCCTGGTCCTTCTTGCGGCACAGGGCCGGCAGCCAGCAAACGAGCTCAATGGGGTCCACATCGTGAGCAATGATCACCTTCAAAAGACACCACGGGCCTCTTAACCCATTGGTTTCATGAAAACTAGCCAAGTTTGGATGAGTTGTTGGGAGAAAATCCTGGTCTTGCTGCTGTTCTGAGTCTGAGCAATCATGCCTGCACTTCAAACATGTCATCCTCGCCCTTGCTTGCAGTCTCGTTTGACGTGGGAGGCTTTGAATTTCGATGATCCCAGCCATGCATAGGACAGAGTCTGTCCTGTCTCTCAAGGTCCTCCTGTTCAATGTTTATTTTACAAAAATGCCGGCGTGTCTCAAAAGTGGGCAACCGCACCAGTTTTAACTGGAGTTTTCATCTTTTTCCCCACACGAATTGCCAAAATCCATCGAGTTCAACAGCCCAGGGTCACCAGCTTGGCCAGCTTGTTCTCCACCAGGGTGGTCACATGGTTCAGGCCATACTTCAGCACCTGGGGCACGGGATCAGAATAGGATCCGAGCAGCTGAGAACACACCTAAAGTCAAGGCCCCGCAAAAATTTTTGGACATCACATCGGAATCCTGAACAGAATTGAACAAATACATTTCCGCAACTACCTTGAGTTTTTCATATCGTGCCATGGCCTGTCAGAATGCCCAAATGGCAGCCTGACACCCTTGACCGCCGCACGCCTGAGGTTTCTTGCTCTTCACCTCTTCACCATCCTGCAATCCACTGGACCCACTGGAAGTGGCAAGAATCTCCTACAGGAAAATCATCAGTCAAAAAAAATATGTATACTGTATAGACATATATATATATTATAATACCATATTTTATTATATATATATATACTATTGCATGTCATGACATTTTTCTGCCGAAATATAAACCCCAGCTTTCCAACCTCACCATTCCCCCAGCCATCAGGGGCACCTTCTTGGCCTTCGCCATCTCCATCAACCGGGCCTTTTTCGCCTCCTTGGTCTCTGGCTGGTACTTCTTGCACAGCTTCAGGACGTTGGCGGCCTAACGCCGGGCGTTTTGGAGTGGCACAAATGACCAAAGACGGCATCAATGCGTGGCATGTCACCTGGTTTTTGACATTTGCACACAATCGATATAGCACGTACATGTGCAACCACGCTGAAACTGACAGGATCTAAACCACAAATTGAACTCCAACATCTTTGATTCTCATAAAATCACCATGAAAACCGTTTGAAAATCAACGTTCCAGCTGCACCGGCGACCTGATTCTTGTCCATGGCCATGTTGAACTGGTTGATCGCAGGAGGCACCTGTGAATGGTGCCCACAACCCACGAAGAAACCTCCCAATCTGTCAGTCTCTCCCAGAAAGGGGAAAAAAAACCGGTGTGGGTGCCCAAAAAAAACACCGTTGGACTGCATTTTTTTCTTGTCAGCAAACAATTCCTATCATCACTGAGTTCCAATTTGCAGCAAAGCACTTGCCGCGTCTTGACATTGTGGAAGTATAATTGGATTAATAACTGGATCAAAAATTCATTCCCGTGCCAAACCATCAAATTTGGGACCCCCAACACCCCAACTAAGCCCTTCCAAGGGTTAGCCGCGGCTAGCCTTCAGACGCATCAACATGATTCGTTTCTGTCGCTGAAGGCGGATGTACTTGGGCCATTTCACGAAGCGGGTCAGGTCACGCTTGGGCTGAATGTCACCACCCAAACGATAATTCCTCGGAGCCTTCTCGAACAGAGGATTCCTGGGGCCAGCATGAACACGAAAATAAGAGAATTCAACAAACACCACGGTGGGTGGAAGGGTCAGTGAACAAACCCTTCTACACTTCCCTTTTCTCATGTCGAACCAGATTCAGAGTTTTTTGGTTTGTGCGGATTGACTCGCACAAACCCTTCTTATATCCACAGTTCGGTCTGGTAAACTGGAATCATCGCACCAATCCCAAGCTCCTGTTTTTGTGTAAATCGAACGTGTGTTCTCGGATCAGGTTCACCCAGTTCAAATTTCGATGCCCTTCTCAAGCACTGGTGTGACAACAAGAATAGCAACTGCTCACCTTGTTACAGAAGGTCAATTTATGTTTGATTTTTTGAAACCATTGTCCATGACGTCAATGAAATTTCAGGTTATGGAATCAAAAATGCCTATTTTACCGACTCATATCCTCAACCACTGCAGTTTGATACATGTTTGATCCATGTGGTCAAGTTTCTTTTTGGCCTTCTTCTTTTTGTCTGCCAATGGTGCGGAGGGAAGTTTTTTTCCACCCTTGGCGGCTTTTCCCATGCCGACTGCTTCAACCGGTGACCGGTTTTCCTGTTTCACTAAGGCGACTAACCTGCAGAGCCAGACAACAGCGGAGTTTCCCATGACAACCCGAAATCGAGCCAAGCAATGGATCCACAAACCGTTGGTCACTTTTACACACCAATCCAAGTTGCGTCTATATGTTGTTTGAAACATGTTCATGTATATCAAGTGATCGGACGGCCAACGCCGGTCAATGAAAGTTTCTCACAACTACCACCCCTAGTCTATCTACCCCAGTGATGTTTCGAAATTATTTTCTATACAAGTCCCGGTGTGAAAATTGAGGGCAAAGTGTTCGTTCACAACCGTGAATCAATGCGACACTTTAAAATAGATTGTGTTCCCGCACAACTGTTCTTTGAGGGCGTTTATTGTCAACAAACAACCGACCTACGCGCTCATGTTTCTGAACGCAACAATTGTTTGAGAACAAGATGGAAGCCACGAACCCAAATGTATTCACGTTCTTGGACTACGAGTCCAAACCTCTGCAATAGGAAAACGATTTTTTTTTTCACGCATCGTGCGCTCATTGTCGCAGTGAAGGCACCTGATGACACAAAAACAGATGATTCCACAACTAATTTACAAAGAGACGCGCAAGATCACGCAAGAACAGATGATTCCACAACTCAAGTGGTTTAAATTCTGCGTGTTTGCTACAGATATGTTTGTCACGTATACTACATATCTAATCCTAAAATCCCAGCACAGATCTTGGCCTTCTGCGGCATTGCCGTCCATTGTGACGTTGTAAAGATTGCGGTGGGCTATCAGCTTACGACCGGGATGGCACCACGGAGATTGCAAAGGAACAAACAGTCACGATGTGTTTGCGGCTTTATTTCCCACTGACAATCCACTGTGTTCGGGGGTAACTATTTCTCACTTGAAGTCCGGGCATGGGGTCATGGAACAATTTTTGTTCAATGTTTGGCGACCACGTCGACAGGTTCGGGTTTGCGATGATCCTGGGGACTGAGCCACCTAATCATGCAGCGCGGCTTCAAAAGCCATACTGTCAAAGCGTGTCGCGTCTTGAGGGCTGCGTTGACTTCTTGAGTTCGCTGCTGCGACATGCCATGCAAGACATCGACTCTTACGATCCGAAAGATCACCAATTCCTAGCTTGACTGAACGATCATCAAATTTTCATAAATTTTCCATGCTCTCAGATTCAACTTCAACTGTCCGGTATCTTCGGTCATTTCACATCTGTGAAACTGCAAGCGGGAGCGGACTTTTCTCGAGCACAAAAGCCTGGACGATATGGTCATGTAATTCACATGCCATCATGGTGATTGTTACACTTCTCATCAAGATTTGTGCTGTGTCATCCATGAGTGCTGCCACAAATTGTACGCACTCCTCCTCAGCACCAGGTAGTGCAAACTCCTGATGCTGCCATTTTTCCTTCAGCCAATCTCCAGCACTCATCGCTGGATTTTCACTTCCAGAAATTCTACTGTGAAAATTTTGTTTCAACGTTCTCGATTTCGCAGTTTTGCTTCAAATCTGCCATAGATTGCACATGCTTCAGGTCTGCTTGGCCTTGCAGTGTCTGCTAACTGGAGGAAAAGATTTGCTGCTCTTTCACGGTATTGGTTTACCAAATTTTCATCCATGCCTCCACTGATTGCAGCAATCATTGTGAGAATGAAGGATTGGATCGCTGTCGCATCCCGCCAATCTCCACGTTGAACTGCAAGACCATGCTGCTCTTTTACATCTTCCATCAACTGTGTCATGGGGGGAGATCTTTGTTCTCCCTCATCAATCATCTCGTCGTCATCTGAAGTCTCTGACTCTGCTTGTTCCTCATTGTTGTTTTCCAAATTTGTATCTGCACCATGGTTCACTGGTATGTCAGTTGTGTCTGCATGTTCAGCTCTGGCACGTTGTCTGACCAAACGCAAGTATTGCTCTGATCCCATGGCTCCATAAGTCACCAAGTTTGCACGTTCATGCATCGCCAAACTTGTAAACTGGTCAGTTGTAAGGCCAAAGCCAAAACGCAGAAATCCACCGCTCTCAACTAAACCATAATGCAAACCATATGTGTAGTCATGCAACATTGAGTGTTCATTGCTTTGTTCTATCAAGCGTCCATCATGCATCATGAGTCTGTTGTGGATCTCGGTGATCCTTGCCTCCTGAGTTGCTATGTAACTGTCCTCATCTGCCACCTGATTCCAGCAATGGAAGATATCGTGTTGCACCTGTTTCATTGCTGCTTCTTGTTCATTCAAACGTTTGTTGAACTTCTTCCATACACAGCAAAATGCTGTAGCCAGAATCACTACCAAAACGCACAACACGCAAACTGCAATCCAAAGACCAGCACTGTTGTCACGCTCTACCGCCTTGACATTCTTTGGACAAACTTCCAAAACCTTTGCTTCCGCTGCCAAAGACTCAAGGCTTTGCACTCCAAGAATCAAGCTGATCCTTTTGATTGCCTTGCCAAGCTTGCTCAACGCTTTTCGATTTTCATCTTGTTCTGTAGCAGCATTGTACTCCTCCTGTCCAATGGGTTCTGCAGTCACAGGATCAACTGCACCAATGCCACAGAGGAGAAAGTAAAGCCGGGCTTTGCTGAGATTCTTTGTTCCCACATCACTGTAGTTCCAGAAGGTGGGCACTTGGGACACCTGAACTTCACCCAAGCGCGTCAAGTCTTGTAGCCAAACAAGTTTGGCCGAGAGGTGGCGAATACGGCCTACCCCTTGCCTTCCAATCAATTGTCTCGCTGCTGAGTTGTCTGTGAATTGGTGGTGCTCCACCTGAACCTGCAGTAGAAACTCCATGCAATTTTTCACAAAAATCGCATCACATGTCCCAGAGATCATGCTATGAAGCTCAATGAAATCACACGCTGGGACCTGCTGCTTGCAAAAGCAAAACATCCATTCACAAACAAAACTGTGCAGCTTGTGCTCCTTCGACTTGATTTGTTGCCACACCAATCTGCACCTGTGAATCCTTCAAGCAACCAAAAGGCCTCGGTGCCTTTCTTCCACTTACCTGCTCCATGTTCAGGCCAGTCAAGCTTGATCCCTATGTCTCCTGAGCTTTTGAGGTATCCAATCAGCTTGCGTAAACGCTGAACTGAACACAAAGTTGGAGCAGCCATGAAGGAAGAAAGCTCTTTGACGCTGTACATGATGTCCACCCTGTCACGTGACAAGTACCACAAGAGGCCAATGATGCTTCTGTAGTTCTTTGCATCCTGTGGACTCAACAATTTCGAACTGTCATCTTGCTGCACTGCTGCATCACATGGAATTTTCTGCAAACGTGCAACTCCAAACAGTTTCTCGAAGCTTTCCACAACCTTGGAGACTGTGGTTCCTGGCACAATCACAAGCCCATCGCTGACCCTGATCAAACGGCGTTTCAAGAAACTGATTTCTGTTCCTGGCTCACCAATTTCACTGAAGCTGACATTGAACTTCTGCTTCATCAAAGGGAGAAACACCTGAGACCAGTACTGCCGTCGACCTGTGAACAAGAGATCATCCACATGCAGCATGAACATGTTTTCCTGGCAACGTGCAAGACAAGGCTGAACTGCGCTCCACTCAAAGTCAAGCACTGAAGTTGCAAATTGGCGAAAATGCCAATACCATGCCTTTGCTCCCAACCTTTGTGCCGGGAGATTTTTCAACACCACGTACTCAACACCATCCGAAACAACTGCAACAACATGCTCTTGAGGTGCTTGGAGGAAAGCATCCTTTATATCCAACGCTGCAAGAATCACATCGTACTGCTCACCTTGCAAACCAATCATCTCAAGCTGTCTCAAAGTTTGCAAGAAAATGATGGGTATGATATTGCTGCAATGACATCCAGTGGCAGGTGAGTAAACATCGTCACGTTTGGTTGTGGCAAATTCTCTGGACAAAACGACTTCTTCTCATCCAGCGTTTGACGCTGGAAACGCTGGCACTTCCATCTTCCTGGTTTTCAGATTTCACCTCATAGGATTTGAGCCGCCAGTCATACACAAAACGTGTTGTCAAAGAACCTTCAACCATGCCACCAAAGTCACAACGTTTCTGTAAAACACCCATGCTGAGCAAACGTGCAATTTCAACCTGGTCTGCCAGTTTGTCGATCCAAGGATCGGGAGGACCTGGAGGAACATCGATGGGAGCATCTGACCACAGCTGTTCTGGCACTTCTGTGAACTGAAGCATATCTTCATCATGCCATATGCCATCACCTTGAAAACCCATCATCTGCAGAATCAATGCTGGGGTCATGCTCATAGTTGTCCATCGTATGGTATTCCTTTTCACCAATCTTTACAACACGTATCATCTTTTCATGAGACTCACGCAACATCCCAATCCTCAGTTTCTTTTGGGACTCAACCTTGGCCTTCTTTGATTCATGGCTCTCATCTCCACCTTCATCATGTCTTTGGGCATCTGAAGAACCTTGAAACTCAAATTCATGAATTCTTGCAACTCGAAACTGAGTTGATGACTGTTGCTGAGCGCCTGAACTTGGGGTTCCCACTGCAGTTGAGCTTGGAGATGACTGCAATGGTTGTGAAGTCTGAGGATGCGGTAGTTGTTGACCCTCTGACTGCACAGCTCTGACATTGGACCCCCAACAGTCACGTGCGTAGTGCCCTGGCTTGCCACATCGATGGCACACTCCACTTGTGCTATTGCCTTTGCCCTTGTATCCAGTGGAATCAGTGGAGTTCTTCAAGGACTTTCATTTGTTGTTTGAGCCTAGGGGTAAAATCTAGATTCCCAAATTAGTTCGACAAAACAAACTGTTAAAAGTACATCCATTCAAACGTTCTCTGTCACTGTCTTCGAAGACATCGCTCTTTTTCATCTGCTGGACATGTCAGATTCGAAATCAAAACACGCAGGGTCCAATAGTTCTGAACCATTTATCCAGATGGCACAAATCACCCATCTGGGATGTATAGGAATCTGACCAGGAATAGCAATCAAAAGAAGGTTGGAAAAACGCCACAAACGCCAAGTGAATTGTCCTGGAGATTCACTGAAAAGTACTGATCGGCAGAGAAGAAGAGAGCACGGGATTGTAATCCGATGTGACTCTCTCAAATGAGTGATATTGCAAATTTCATCAATGCGTGGCTACTGAAATCCATAGGACGTTGCAGTGAAATCATCCACAGATACTCACAGCAAAAGCAACAACAAAAACACCCTGATAGGGCAAACCAAGGATGAAATCACCAACATCCCGGATAAGTCGAAATGGTAAGACCATTGAACCACGCCGTGGAGATGTACGAACATCCCCAAATAACTTGATACAGGTCATCTCCAATTTGGAAAGATGACAAAGAAATGCAAATATAGACCTGGAGGGCCAGTGAAAGCTTATGGTACAGCCAAACAAGCTGATCTGAGTCTTGCCACGAATTGCAGACAATACGAGTACAAACCTGGATGATGGCTTTGTCATCCAAATCGAATCCCGCATGCATTTCGAAATGCATCAACATCGAATGAGTGGTGAAAAAGAAATAAATCACACGACCACATACCCCAAAAGAAAACGCAATAGGTGAGGGGGGAGGGAAAACAAAAATGTTAAACATACAAATGAAAGTCCTTGAGCCAAAATGGAAACAGGAACAAAGAAGATCCTTGCAAAACAAGTACACTAACCGTTCTTCAAGGACTTTCATTTGTTGTTTGAGCCTAGAGGTAAAATCTAGATTCCCAAATTAGTTCGACAAAACAAACTGTTAAAAGTACATTCATTCAAACGTTCTCTGTCACTGTCTTCGAAGACATCGCTCTTTTTCATCTGCTGGATATGTCAGATTCGAAATCAAAACACGCAGGGGCCAATAGTTCTGAACCATTTATCCAGATGGCACAAATCACCCAACAACAACTATCTGGGGAAATGGTTATCGCCAAGAACACCCCCATAAACAGAAGTGAGAACCATTCCAGCAGAGGAAGCAAGCTATAGAGAACGGTGGAGTCGGTAGAATCTTAGATTCTCAGACAAGAATGGCTCAGTGAAGTGTCTCACGGAAAGTGCTCAAAAGAGGAAGTGATCAGTGGTGAAGACATAAACGGCAAAATAACGTAGGGCTGGTACACCAGAAAAAAAATGGAGTAGTCCAATTGTGATATATTGGAGTAGACGTAAATAGAAAAATTTGGGAATGATCACAAAGTCCTCCAAATAGTGCACGAGGTGATACCGAATTTGAAGTAAATTTGAATACATTGAATGAAGAACGAGAGTTGCTGAAGAAATATAGCCACGATTGCAAAAGAATATTGCATAAAATCCACGGCAGCATCCAGAGCTGGCAAAAATATGGTTGATGTAATTCTAGGTGCCTCTGAATGGGTTCCAAGTTTGCGGGGAATCCAGCCCCGAGAGGCGTCGCAGTAAAAAATCGCAGATGTGGTCGGAGTCGAACTGTGTCGCGTTCTGGGGATAGTAAACTTCTTGATAGATCTCCGCAGAAGCTTGCTCATGAAGTTCTGTAAGTAATGTCCAGAAGCTGCCGATGAGTTTTTTGGGTGGCCATTTGCCGAAGAGCTCGTCCGAGGGGTCTAATCTTGTCCAGCTATTGCCGTCTAATAGTAATGGCACAATCCTTCCGTTCCTGAGGCCGAAGCCCCAGTTACCCCGTCCACAATCTTTCAACCTGAATCCTCTCTTGGAGGTCATCGCGATGGCCAGCGCCAGGTGATATGCGATTTCCTCAGGGTCCAAACCTGAGAAATCTGCTTGACCATAAGGAATAAGCCTTTCACATACCAGTAGTACCCGCACGAGGCGGGGCGGAAGTTGCCTTAAAGATATATATGAGACCTTTCTCATCTATAGAACTTGCATGCGCCGTGCGCCAGCCAAGCCCGTGCGTGCGTGCACTCTGCGAAAGTGGTGTCCTGTTTCACATGTCACATTTGAAGCTCCACTTCGCCCTTCACACTTCTCACTGCACTCTTCACACTCACACTTCACACTCCACACTTCACACTTCACACTCCACACTTCTCACTTCACACTGCACTCTTCCCAATCCACACTTCACACTTCACTGCACGCTTCCCACTGCACACTCCACACTTCACACTTCACACTCCACACTTCACACTTCACACTCCACACTTCACACTGCACTCTTCACGCCCCACACTTCACACTGCACTCTTCACACTCCACACTTCATCTCATCTGAGCTCTTCTCACCTTATCCCAGCTCATCTCTTCTCATCTCATCTCTTCTCATATGTCACCTAAGCTTTCATAAATCACTTCCCAGTACTACTACTAAGGAACTTGCATGCGCCGTGCGCCAGCCAGGCCCGTGCGTGCGTGCTTTGTGCGAAGCTGTTGCAGTGTTGCTGTCCAAGAACATGACCTGCGCGCGACCCCGGTACAATGCAAACACTTTCCTCACACTTCACATTGCACTCTTCACACCCCACACTCCACACTTCACACTTGCACTTCATCTCAACTCATCTCATCTGAGCTCTTCTCATCTCATTCCATGTCTTCCCATATGTCAGCTAAGTTCTTCTTGGCTATTTTTATGTCAAGTACTTCCCAGTACTGATGTCTACTACAAAAGCTTGCAAAAACCACTTCCCAGTACTACTTTGTACTACAAAGCTTGCACAAACACTTCCCAGTACTACTTTGTACTACAAAGCTTGCACAAAGCACTTCCCAGTACTACTTTGTACTACAAAGCTTGCACAAAGCACTTCCCAGTACTACTTTGTACTACAAAGCTTGCACAAACTACTTCCCAGTACTACTTTGTACTACAAAGCTTCTACACACATCAAGTTCTTTCGCAGAGAAGCTTTTACACACAGCAAGCTTTTCAAGCAGAGAAGCTTTTACACACAGAAGCTTTTACACACAACAAGCTTCTTCACAGAGAAGCTTTCACACACAGCAAGCGTTTACACACAGAACACTTACACACAGTGCTTTTACACATGGCAAGCGTTTACACACAGAAACTTTTGCACAGAGACGCTTTTACACACAGAGAGGCTTTTACACACAGCAAGCTTTTACACACAAAATCTTTTTCACACAGCAAGCTTTCAAACACAGCAAGCGTTTACACACAGAACACTTACACACAGTGCTTTTACACATGGCAAGCGTTTACACACACAGCAAGCTTTTTAAACAGAGAAGCTTTTACACACAACAAGCTTTTACACAGAGAAGCTTTACACAGCAAGCTTTCACACACAGCAAGCTTCTTCACAGAGAAGCTTTTACACACAGCAAGCTTTCACACACAGCAAGCGTTTACACACAGAACACTTACACACAGTGCTTTTACACATGGCAAGCGTTTACACACACAGCAAGCTTTTTAAACAGAGAAGCTTTTACACACAACAAGCTTTTACACAGAGAAGCTTTCACACAGCAAGCTTTCACACACAGCAAGCGTTTACACACAGAACACTTACGCACAGTGCTTTTACACATGGCAAGCGTTTACACACACAGAAACTTTTACACAGAGACGCTTTTACAGAGAAGCTTTTACACACAGCAAGCTTTTACAGAAAAAGTTTTTGCACAGAGAAGCTTTCTTGTACATAATCACAACAGGAATTGCAGCTCCAAAACTGGATCTCGACGCCAAAGCGACAAAAAGACGATTTTGAAGCACTTTTAAAAGGAATTTTAAAAGGAAAATTATTAGCGCCAAAATTGAGAAAATCTGCTGACAAATCACTTTCGCAGCCTTGATGCAGCCATTCCAATACGATTTACGATCTTCAGCTGCAAAAGACAATAGTATTACGCATGCAGCCGCTGCACCAAGCAACCTTGACGCAGCCACTACAATGCGATCTGCAGAGACGGAGTTGCAAAACACAATAGAACTACGTGCAATGGCGTCGGAAATTGCAGCTCCAAAACTGGATGGATCTCGACGCCAAAGCGACAAAAAGACGATTTTGAAGCAGTTTTTAAAAGGAATTTTAAAAGGAAAATTATTAGCCCCAAAATTGAGAAAATCTGC